GATCTGCACTGAGATCCTTGCCATTTATTTGAGGAATCCTCCTTGATCTTAGGAGTGGATCTTGGCTGGTGAGAGTTTTATGCCTTGAATGTAGCTTGGCCGTTTGTTTCGGGGATGCCTTATATTATCTAGCTGGCCTTTCCTCATGCCTTCTTTTGTTGACTCTGGGGAATCCCGAGATCTGGAGTTCTTACCTCATGGTGTAAATTAGCATGGATGAGCAGATGGTATGAAGGGTGTGTGGCAGCTCGGATCTGAGCTACAAGGCTCGCGAGGATCGTAAGAAATATTGCTGGAGGGTTGGGGGGATCTACATAGTAAAAATATAGTGGTTCACCGGCTCGAGAGCTCGGTTAGTTCACTCTTTAATAAAGGCTCTTGCTCCCTGGATCTATATTGATTTCCTGAATGAATCTCAGCAGACAGTTGGGTACCATTAGAGTTCTCTTTGTTTTTGGAGGCATTATACAGTATTTATAGAACTGTTCCTAGTTTTGCGGGATCTACACCGAGATCCTTGCCATTTATTTGAGAAATTCTCTTTGATCTTAAGAGTGGATCTTGGATGGTGAGAGTTTTATGCCTTGATTGTAGCTTGGCCGTTTGTTTCGGGGATGCCTTCTATTATCCAGTTGGCCCTCCCTCACGCCTTCTTTTATTGACTTTGGGGAATCTCGAGGTCTGGACCTCTGAGATCTAGAGGTCTTACCTGACCTTCTTGTCTGATTTCTATGCCTGAGTTCATTCTTAATCGATAATTTCTTATAGGCATCATCATTATTAAATGATAACATCACATAATAATCAATTTCAATATTATACTAGTATTCGTTTCCTTTCCGGAAGTGATGTGGCCAACTTTATCTCGGGACTTCGAATCCTCCAAATTAACATGAGTGGACACACATTATAATGGTGAAATTATAAAATCGATGACACATGGTATCACAATAGACAAGAATTTCATATTTATGTCATGTATGCTATCGGGCATGTATTAGATTATGTTATTTAATATGCACAAACATATGTGTAGGGTACCATGGCCGGCTGGCCATCAAAGCTATGACTTTTAAACTCATGAAAAAATAAGGCCCTAATATTTTTTCATGAGCCTAATTTTATTAGGTAGTAGTTCATGTTAGTATGTATGTGTGTATATCTTATGCATCTCAATTAATTCTTGATTTGGTGAAAGTCAGGTCATCCACGTCGGAACTAGGGTACATATGCGGATAAATTTCTTCATGGCCCAATATTCGAATTCAAGATATTTGAATTTACAACTTACACCTATTACAATTTGAAGTACCTTTCAAGTTTATTAGTATTTCATATTTGATAAAAGTTTAAGTTTAATAAAAATAGTCTTATAGAAATCTATGTTTAGAGGGGAAAAAAAAAAAGCCTAGTCCAAATGTCAATTGATAGACACATATAAGGTAACAAAATTAAGCCATGGTTATTGTACTCCATTTTTTTAAGGGCAATACTATTAAAACCTAAAAATTAAATCTAATAATTTAATCAAATCATGTGTTAATTGACATAATCTAATAATATTTTTATAATTATCATTATTAGACTTTTTTATTGGGATAATAATACATGCTACATCATTAAGTTAAAGTACTATGTCATATTTTTAGGTCCTAATATATTTTTTTGTCATGTAAAGCATAAAAGTTGAAATAATCATCAACTCATGCATTACTTTCTCTACGTGTTTTGAGCACTCAAATAATAAATTTTTTAATTAAAGTACTAAATTAGATATTAAAGTTAGATTCTTTTTTAAGTTAATGTTTTGCCCACAATATATTACTTACATTACCTTTAACAATGACTTCTCTAGCAAGAAGTTTTCAGAGATTAAAATTGATAAAAATATTACGTTAAATTGATTATGTTATAAGAGATATTAAGTAAATTAATCATACTACTAACTAAAAATAATATGTTATCATTTATTTAATATAAATATATAATTAATAATTTTGTATTTTGAAAAGTGACAAAAAATTCTTAAAAAATATAAAAGGCCTTACTTAGATGTGTCACTTTAGGCCTATAGGATATACTATGTTTTTGTAATATATAATTTGCACCACGAATAATAAAATTTCGGTGAATATAAAGACAAAAAAGAATCATCGTTTCTATCGGCCCACTGAAAAACAAAAACAGGAAATTGTCTGTTTCACTTGTTCCTTTGTTGGTGCCATTTTTTGGTGATGTCCTGTACACTAACAATATACATTTTGGCCTGTTCCAGTTTCAAGATATAAATATCAAGTGCAAATGAAACATACTCTCTCTCTCTCTCTCTCTCCACAACTTCTCAGGTTATCTCCCTGACACACATTCACCATCGTTTCTGTAATTCTATCGCTCTTAAGTAAGGTTGCCTCTCTCTCTCCTAATTAGTTTTTGCTTTATCTCTTGCTTTCTTAGTTCTTACGCCTTTGATATGAATTTTTTTTATTATAATGTACACTATTTATTGTGAGTGAGGTGGTTCAAAACTTTCTCATGCTGTCATAAAAGCTAATAAATATTAAATATTAACTATTACTGTATAGGTATTTGAGCAATTTTTCTGTTATTTTTACAAAACTTCCTTCTTAGATCATCAAACCATCACGCAGTAATATAACACCAACGTTACTTGATTCCAAATTAAGCACCAAAACAAGAATAATTGTACGTGAAATATTCACACACACATTCACACAAGCGTGCGCGCACGCAAGCGTGCGCGCACGCAAGCGCGCACACACATATATATAGATTTAAAATTTAATAATTGTTTTTAAGTAATAAAAACAAACAAAAAAAATAAATCTAAAAAAATACCCATTTGTAATTTTATCATTTTAGTGGGGCCAATTTATAAAACCCATTTGTTTATTGCATACAGATTTATATATACCCTTCATTTTTTAAATACCAAAAAACAATTTTTTATTCTTATCCATATTTATAGATCCCCTAAAGTTTTATTCACATTCTTCTGTTTTGTGCCAGGGTCAAAGGAGCTCCCTCACCTTTCAAAGACTCTACACATCAAGTAAAGTAGCTGCCGAAGCATGGACTTTCGTAAAGAAAAAGGTGCATTTTAGAATTCTCAATAAAAAATCTTTCAATATGATCATTATAATTTATATCTATATAATAAAACATGAATGTGTTTAAATTTTGTCCAGTTATATTTTTTCTCTCAAGATCATCATCAATCACTTACCTTACCTATCATTCTTTTATCATACTCAAACGTTAAATCACATCACTTATTTATATCATATGTTTAATCATTTATATATTTCTTCCCTAAAAACATCATATCACTCATTTTTATCATATATTTAATTATTTAATATTTGATTAATTTCTAGTTAATATATTTTGAAAAAAATTAATATAATGGGATCTATTTTTTTGACATTCGAATTTTATATTTTATCGTGCCTTCATGCACGAGTTATGACTAGTTTATACATATATCATATATATAATTGTCATTCATCTTTTTTAATTTTCTCAATTATGTCTCATCAGTGCTTTTGGACAGAGAGTAGATCTAATCCAGTATTGAAACTAATTATTAATTCAACAATAATTAAGACACTGAATTTCAAGGATAAGACTAAAGGGCAAGATGCTTTCTTTTATTTTTTCTTTGAGTTTATTCCTTGATGACCAGAATGTGAGTCAGTCAAGGGAGTAGTAATCCTAGGAATCCCAATGTGTGGGTGGATGATCAATTCAAGATTCAAGAAGCAAACATTCTCCTCGAAAATGATGGATCCGAGGAGGAAAGCGCAAGTGCTAAGTTTTAGATCAATGAATAAAAGGTGATTTGACAATACAATAGCTGAAATAGACTAGTAAATTACTAAATTGGTTGAACAAGGGCTTGCCTGCCTTCATAAAGGCTCAAAAATTTTGGTTTTCTATTTTTTAACACCAAATTTTAAAAAATATAGAAAATAAGAAAAGAGTAAACACATTAGCCCCCCACCAAACTATCCAAGGCATTCTGCTTGTCTATATATTACGACCAATATGTTATATATTTGCACTTTTCATAATGTTAATATGAATGAGTTGAATTGATTTATAATGTGTATTATTTTGATAATTTTTCTGCAAAACTCATGTAAATTAAGTTTCTTGATGTGCTAATAATAATTTCCAGGGGCGGAACCACTCAGGCCTTTGTGGGGGGGGGGGGGGGGGGGGAGGGCGCAATTTCCGCCGCTCAATTTTATTTTGGGACAAAATTTTTTATATAAATTTTTGAATTGTATAGATTTGTCCCAGCAAAAAAATTCAGTCATTTAAGTCTATTTCATAATTTTTCACATTTAGAATAAACTTTTTTACCCTCAATCAAGTGAGCTTAAATAATATTTAGTTACTTCAACTCTTCAACATGTATTTAAGAAATTATTTTGAGTCTGGTAATTCTATCTCTATATCTAGTCTGTTTGTTAATTGAATGATAGCAATACATGAAGTCTCTGAATTAGATCTCTGAATTAAATACATTTAGTAATTTTGTTGCTAAAATTTGCCCTCCCACGACGACATATTTCTGGCTCCACCCCTGAATATTTCTAAGTTGTAACAACTAGGGAAAAAAGTGAAGGTTGATTGGAATTGGAAAGTTCTCGGTTCAGAGATTGCTGCAGGTTCGATTTTCTAAACCCTCTTAGTATTCCATGTTAAAAAAAAAAAAGCAAATTACACTCGCACCCCTAGGCAATAATAGGTCATATGAGGGGAAAAAAGTCTTAGGCACTGCTTGAATACTTTCAAGATTAGCATTTTTCTTTTACAAGACATAATTACTCTCTCACTCTGTCATGGTATAGGAGGTACAGCACTAGCAGGAGCAGCAACAGCACCTTCATTTGAAAGGGCCACTACAAAGTTTAAAGGAATGATGAGGAGGAAAGTAAGTTACTAATTCCAAAACTTATAATTAATTTAAAGTGATGTCAACGTAAGTCAATGTAATCAGCAGCTTCGGCTAATTAGATTATTATTCGTTAATTCTTTTTATGTATTTTTGTTGTATCAAAACTATCGAATCAGTTCTTTCTTTTTAACTTATCGTCGCTTGGTAGTATCACTAACACCACCACAGCCTTTTTTTTTTCTTATTTTATCACATATATATTTTAACATTTTTTGGCCGTGTATAGAATCTTATACTAGCACCTGAAGAAGTTTTCTTATGTCTTGTAAAAACTGTTCTCAAACTAACAAAGGAAAAAATTGGCCCTTTGTGTTTCATTTCAAAGCTTTAACAATTACACTGCTTACGGGAAAAAACAAGTTAAATCATTCTTCTATTTTATGCAGGGTCGACGAAAAATTGTTACTATAAAAGGTAGAGCTTCTTTAATTCCACTAAATTCTCTTTGTTATACAATCAATCTGACGTTAAATCGTATTAAAGACTTGTACTATTCTAGAGCTTAAGAAACGGCAAACAAAATAAACATGCAAGAGAACTTTCTAGAAATTTTTTAATCCCCGTGTCCTCAAATTTATCAAGAGTTTTTCTTAAATCAATTAATGAGCGAGTGTGGTTATGCCTTATCAGTGTTCTTTATTGTTTTTCTCTCTGTTATGTTGTTACCGTTTTCCTTTGCAACTCAGCTCAAGATAGTCTAGCTTTTGAACCTGATGAAGAAATTCATGAAGAAGAAGCAGTCTGTAAATTTTGCTTTGACATATTGGTGGATGGAAATTTGGTCAAGTTAAAATGCAGTTGCAAAAACACCCTCGCCCATAGCGCATGTGCATCTAACCAATTTAGATCGAGGGGAAACAATGAGTGTGAAGTTTGTGACCAGGAGGTCGAAGAGGTACCTGTAACTTTGCTAAGGGTGCCTGTTCCTGATAGGGATAATGAGCCAAAGGAAATCTGGACAGCAAAATTGAAAAGGTAAACTTACATTCGAGCCACAGTGATAGATATGTATTGAAATCACTAATTTAGTTTTGAAGAGCTCCTTAAACACAACTTGCTGGAAATTAGTACTTCTCTAGCAAGTCGTGATAGTTTTTTTTTTTTTTTGGGGCAAGTAGGATGACTATCATTAAAATCGAAAGAGGTTCATGTACAAAAGAGATTCCAACGGGATGGTTGATCTTTTGAACCAGAGAAAAGAAGATCCTCCATCCCAAAACAAAAGATAAAAACAGAATGAACAAAAACCAAACGAAAAAACAAAAACCAAGCAAGCCATGATAGTTGAACAGTTTATGCTATGCATGCATCAACTAAGGAATGTCGGCCAAATTTGAGTAGGCCAGTGAGATCGGCTTGGATTTCGACCTACTTCGACTCTAAAACCAATCTAAAAATTTAGTTTCAATACGAGTCCATGAAACAGCAAATGGCAGATTAAGCTTCACTTAAATATTCAAAACTACCACTCTATATTGGACTAATCAAATTTAGATCAAAACCCGACTCATTGACAGATGTACTCGTGAGCAAGTCGAACACAACTCAAAAAAGTTACTTTTGAATTCTTGTTTCAATTGCGATCAATGAAGAACCCATATCAGGATCCGGAATTGTAGCTTATATTTAGCGAATGACTTCTTCTGGATTCAATTTTCTTTCTTCGTTCCAAAGGCTTTTGTAAATTATATTTTGATACATATTATTATTTGCTTGTCAGGATTTTGATATGTGGTGTGCCACAGGAAAGTGAGACTAGAGTCTGAGTAATACAAAAGCTATAGAAGGAGGATTTGAAACCAAACCATAATTATATTTGTTCTGGTTTCGTGGTTGGTTTAGATCTGTTTTAGGCATTTGGTACTACTGAATGAAGTTAATTTCCATTGGGTTTGCCCTTATATTCAAAGCGTATTTTTTGTAGTGAATCTTGTTTTATTAATTAATAAGAATTGTTTGTTTTTTCATTTTATTGAGAATCTATGTGGACAAAATATTTGTATTATGATATGTATGAGTGTCTTATATTTTATATTGTAGATAATCTAGTGTGTAGAGTTTAGTTTTTGCACATAAGACTAGATTATCGGATCTTTGTATAATATGAGTATAGGTTCACAATACTAGATGAAATTGCACATGTTATGAATATGATTGTAGTGTAATATTCTGACATAGTCTGTCTTGACTATAAGAGACTGTTTGATGTCTCTGATTATTGCACTACTATACTCTCGTTTGATTGTCGTATTAGAAATGAATGAATTGGACAAATTAATACAGTCTAAAACAATACAAATGGATAAAAGACAAGATTAAATATAGTATTAAAATAATACGTAATTTTGTCTAGTGTTTGACAATACAAAATATAAGCGTTGGATAGTAGTTATTAAATCCAATCGGTTGTTTGGTTAGAGAATTAACAAAAATACCCTTAATCAGTGTTTGTTACATTGATGACAACTTGATTTTATCACTTGGAGGGTTATAATAGTAAATGTGTAGAATAATACGTTTGAGTTGGATTGTAATATCACCTATTTGGTGGTATTAAAAAACCTTTATAATACAGGTCTATTATACAAAAAATATATGATAAGTATACGATTAATATACATTTTTATATTAATATGGTATCAAATTTGCTTATCAAACAAAGCATTAGGTCTGATTAAATAAAAAATAATACAATCTAAAATTTAATCCCCTCATAATACATATATCAAACGAGTAATTTGTGTATTGAACATATTCATGTTGAGACTATTATTTTTTACTGATTCAATAAGATAATAAATAACTTATGATTATTAAGATTGCTTATACTCTTAATCCCGAAATATTTAATTACTACGTGCATATAATGTTTGTCACTTTAATTCATCAAGGAGTGAGAATTAATAATGAGTCAATAAGCTCGGAGAATTGGGAGACAAATGTTATTTGTATGATGAAATTAATTAATAAAGGAAATCACGTCCTAATATTTAAATAGGTTGGTGATGTCCTCTTGAGAAAGCTCATAAGTTTTATCCATGTCAAATCTTACAGGTGGATTTAATTATCCGACATGACAAATAAGTTGAATGGTAAGGTCTCAAGGAATAAAATAAGTCAATTAAATATAATTGTCAATAATTTATTTAATTGATAGACATTTGTAATCTTAAACGTGAGGAAATTATGAAGCATACAATAATATGGAGCTCGAAACATAATTTTGAGATAAGGCTTAGGAGATTAATAATAAGTTTTTAGTGGATTAACTTATTATTAATTGACTGTAGGATGTTTGTTCTAGGTTGAACATAAGAATCCTAGGCCCATTGGAAGTTCGACCTTTATTTCTCCTTAGGGTTTCTGTCGTAACCTATATATAGACATCTAGGTTCTCTAAATCAACATCAATTTCATTACTCACGATGTTCTTATCATAGAGATATGAGGCATTTGACTGAAGATTGTAGAGTGTACAAGTCTTTCCTTGAGCAGTTGGTCCGAGATAGGCATCTCGAGGGGTTCATTGAGAAGACACTCGTTAGGGGCTCCGCAGGAGGAGCTGACATGTCTTAGGAAGCGGCGACCGTGATTGAAGTGATTTATGTTTGCACGGTTGAGAGGCCAACGTATAATTCCCTCCGAGCTGACCTCCAGAGGGTCCCGCAAGTAGTGAAAATGGAGAAAAACAGGTGTGAGGAGCAATCGTCCAAGAGGTCTTGGCATGAAGCCGAGGTTATCCAGTTCTCTGATGCCGACCTGGGCGGGTTAGTGCTCCCGCATGAGGATGCTTTGGTGATTACCCTTCGAGTCGACAAGTATGATGTCAAGATGATATTGGTGGACTCAGGTAGCTCGTTTGAGGTGATGTATGGCGACCTCTTTCGCAAAATGGGGTTCACCCAAAGGGACTTGAAGCCAGTAAGGACCCCCCTTATTGGTTTCAATGGTTCCTACGCCCTTCCCCTTGGAAAAATTACTCTTATGGTTAATGTTAGGATCATTGCTGTCCCAGTAGAATTTGTGGTGATAGACTCCGATTCATCGTATAATGCCATCATGGGTAGGACATGGTTACATGCGATGAAGGCGGTGCATTCATCTTACCATCAGAAAATTAAGTTCTCCATAGCACGAGGTGTCATGGAGATTCGAGGCGATCAGCCATCATCCAAAAGTTGCTTCTACACCGTAGTGAAGACTGTGTCAGTGGCCGAGTTCGGGAATGTGAACCCAAGGCGGTGGTGGCCAAATAGCAATCACAGTTCGATCAGCCCGGTGTGGACGACCCCATTACGGAACCAACCGATCGTTCCACGGAGGGTTTGGTCAAAGTTTTTTTAAATCCCGAGGATGAGGAGAGATACTTTTTAATAGGGGCGTCACTGGACGGCACCAAAAAATTTGACATGATATATTTCTTGCGCCGAAATGACGAAAATAAGTGCAAAGATAATGACTCATTGGTTTCATGTGGACCTATTCTTCAAACCCGTAAGAAAGAAAGCTCGAAGAACGCCACTTCATCACGCGAAGGCTGTAAATGAAGAGGTGGACAAATTGTTGGGGGTGGGCTCCATTAGAGAGGTATAATTCCCTTAATGGTTATCCAACACGGTGTGCGCTAAGAAGAAAGAAGGAAAATGACGAGTTTGCATGGATTTGAATAAAGCGTGCCCTAAGGATGAGTATCAATTGCCGAAAGTTGATCACTTGGTAGATGCGACTGCGGGTCACAAGCATATCTCCATCGTGGATGCTCGGGCAGGTTATCATCAGATACCTTTGCATGAATCAGATTAGGAGAAAACATAATTCATTATGCCCCGAGGGATCTATTGCTACATGGTAATGTTGTTTGGATTGAAGAACACTGGTGCTACTTATCAGCACATGATGAACAAAATTTTTAAACAGCAACTCGGCATGACCATGGAGGTTTATATTGATGATATGCTAGTTAAAAGCAAGAAGGGTTCCGATCACCTTGGGACCTCGAGCCCTGGTAAGGGAGAGTGAAAGGGCACAAAAACCTATTTACTTCGTGAGCAAAACCTTGGTTGACATCGAAACACGATACCTGCCGATGGAGAAGCTTATTCTAGCTTTGGTGGTCTCGGCAAGAAAACTTAGACACTATTTCCAAGAGCACGCCATAGAAGTCCTGACCGATTGGCCTCTCAAGCCCATTCTTCATAAGACCAACATGTCAAGAAGAGTTGCCAAGTGGGCTGTCAAACTCGGGGAGTTCAAAATAAGGTACAAACCCTGTACTTCGATTAAGGGGCAATTCCTTACCGATTTCATTGCCGAGTTCTCTGCGTTTGAGCCCCCATAAGAAACGAGAAATTTTGACGACGACGTTTGGAACCTTCATGTTGATGGGTCCTCGAATTCAAGGGGGGCAGGGATAAGTGTAGTACTGGCTAGTACCAGAGGATTAACAGTGGAGCGAGCTATCAAATTAGGATTCAAAGCGTCTAATAATGAGGCCGAATACAAGACACTGTTGGCAGGACTTGATATAGCGTACTCGATCGAGATTAGACACCTCCATGTCTTCTGCGACTCCCAATTGGTAGTGAATCAGAGCAATGACAGCTTCGAGGTTCGAGATACCAGGATGAAGGCATATCATCAGAAGGCAAAATCCAAAATTGAGAAGATGAAGAGGATGGAAATATCCCAGATTTCAAGGGATCAAAAATTTCCACACCGACGAGCTGGCTTATCTAGCCTCGGCCTTAGCCTCGTAGGTAACTCGACTTATTATCATTGAAAATTGGGAGAGCCCGAGTATAAAGAAAACAAAAGCCGAGCAAGTGCTATCGATGCAAGTGCAAATAGCGCCTCCGGGTTGGATGGACCCCATAGTCGCATACTTAATGAAATGTGTGCTTCCCAAGGATATCAAAGAGGCCAAGAAGATCAAATTCAAGGCCCCCAGGTTCTGGATATCTGCCAATCACAAATTATATA